CTGAACTCAGGCACCAATCATGGTCGCGTGGCAGAATCTCTCGATGGCGCTCGTCCAGAAGGCTGTGGCGGAGTGTCATGATAGTATTTAATATGCTCTTTAATATGGTGGTAGAAATGTCCGATCAGAATTTAATAAAGTGTAACTTATAGCGCCTCGAAAGTCAATGAAGAAAAGTGACTTTTTTGCCCCCCCCCCCCTGTAGTTCTTTGAAGACACTCTCCGCGTTCAAAATGATGAATCGTGCGGCTCAAAATGTTAATGTCAAGATGGTAACTAACACAAAAGTGAAGAAAAAAGCACCAAAACCGTCGAAAATGCTTCATATAGAACTCTATGATGAAGCGCGCTTACGCTTGCGTACGGCGAATCGAGATCGTGGTCACACGAGTTCTCAATAGGTGGTGCCAGCTCTTTCTACTTGTCATCTCACTGCTACATTTGCAAAGGAGAGTTACTAGCGAAACGACCGCATTATCAGGAAGCAATTAAACATGAAAATTGGGCGTCGCCGTGCCCATGAGCGCCGCGAGCAGGCTGGCTTTCCTCAGATACTTTCAGCTGCGAAAGTGGTACATCCTCAGTGCCTGCGAGCAGGATCACCATTCCCAGAAAAGGCACCTGAACATCAAACGAACGCGAGGGCTTACCTTCAAAAGCAAGAACCGCGTTCAGGTGTTCCCACGATTTGTTTGAATATCTTAGCCCTTCCCTACAAGGATGGAGAATGTACTAAATTCACAGCGAAAAATCGAGAGGGAAGCGCCGCTCGCTCTTAACTGCCCTCTAACTGCCCTAACGCCCAACGTTGATTTTTGAACGTTCCTGGTAGTGCGGTTGTTCTGCTATTGACAACGCCACTTCGAATGGTGAGAGTGAGGTGATAAGGAGAAAGAGCTGGCACGAACAAGAGGAACACGCCGGGTGTAGGTTAGGACTCCACGAGAGGTCACGGCAGCCATGTTTCGCCTCGCCGCGCGCGGCGATTGCTGCCCTGATTGGACAAGACCCATACAGTCGTGCGATTAAGATCCCGGTCCCTTCACATAGTTCTGGCATCACGCAAATCTGCTTGGCATTTTGCCAAACTAGAATATTCAATGGGACGTCAATATTTTTGAATGGCAGCTGTATTTATTCAACAGATTGCTGTATTTCTTTAATACTACCTACTTTTCCCGTCTGGCCGCAAATCTTAGGCCTTTACAATACCTTGCAAAGGAGTGCAAAAGAAGGATTCACCCTAAAGTGAATTTTTGTAGATTGCTGATGTATTCTCTAAATATTATTTCTATGTAAATGGACATTGCTTTATACTAATAGTTGAACATCGGGCCCACTCCTTCCATAGTTTTCACACCTGCAAGTAATAAAGCAGACTGTTGGAAATCTAACGGACTATGCAAACGCCGCGCAGATAGCGAAAACATCGCGAGGCCCACTTCTCCTCTGCCGCGTCGCGGCGGCAGGCTGACCTCTCGTGGAGTCCTAACCGTTCCCCGAAACACGCCCGACCACGCCCTCCACGCCCTTATGCAGGTACATCCTCAGCGGATGGGATTCTATATAAGAGCATTTCCCATGACTTTTTCCTGCTTTCTTCTTCACTACTGAATCACTTGCCACCTTGCTATTATTATCTGAGCAGATAATTCATCGATATTGAACGCATGCTCAGCCAATAAGTTCCCCACGCTGGGGTTATCAGCGCCCATTATCAAATTTCTCCCCCTGCTTTTTTTCAGAAAACGTGTCTAAGTGTTGAAGTTCTAAACTTATAGAAAAATCGAAGTCTACAGTGCAATTCTCAATATTGGACTACGATATGTTCGCATAACTCACAGTTGTTGCATTTCTTACATATGAACTCGCATTGTGTTGAGTGGGTCAGCTCATGAACTTTAAGATCGTTCTTGCGAACGAATGTCCTCTCACAAAATAAGCAAGCGAATGGCCGGTCAAGTGTGTGTACAGAACGAATATGAGCAGCTAAAGCCTGAATCACAAATAAATGTCTCAGTTTAGCGGACAAAACAGTCGTAAAAATTGAATAGAAATGATAATGGTGATTGAATGTTGGCTCTGATGACTTCCATACTTTGGTACACTTATATCCAGGATGATTACAGCCTTCGTAAGGACATGCATGCTTCTTTTGCTGATGCACCATCATGTCATGACGTCGAAGGCCTCCAGCTCGACCGAATTCCATGCCACATTGCTCACATTTGAATGGTCGAAGATTCCTAGGCCAAACAGCAATGACATCATCTTTATAGAGAAGGTTCATGCTACCACACTTGAACGATGAATGCAAGACCTCAGCACTAAAGCTCTCGTAACTGGCATGCAAACAAGGGGCTCATGAGAGAACATGTTCAGTTAGACGCTATCAAAGAAAGCAAAAGAAGAAGTGAAGTTTGGTTTCCTTGTGGGTCAAATCTAAACACAAGGAAGTGAAAGGCAAAGATCATTTACAACGAAGACTTATGGAACCCGTAGGAACAAGGATCCCAAACAGAAGAAAGGACGAACTAAGTTTTCTTTGACTGCGTTCACACTTTGCGGCAGCGTCTACCAACGTCTAACTGTCAACCAGCGACTAGGAAAGTGGAGATATCGATCTGGCAAACGCCATCCACCAGCGTCCAGGAGTGGGGAGTATGGGACTGTCAGGGGAAGCAGACAGTGGATTAGGCGTCGTGAAATTGCAGCCTCTGCCGCACAACTTCTAAAGCGAAAGATTATGCAAATCGATGTATGGATCTAGCAAACGCCAGCGTCCAGGAGCAGAAGAACGAGGAAGGAGGAGGGTGGCAGACAGCTGGATCAGGCGTCGTGAAATCGGGGCGTCTGCAACCGCGCCGTACAACTGCTAAAGCGCAGACTTAGTGTGGTTGCATATGCCGCAATTTCATGACGTCTAATCCAGCTGCTCCCTCCTAGTTCCCCATACTCTCCATTCCTAGACGCTGGTAGACTCAGATGGATCTGATCGATATCTATACTTTCCCAGAGGCTGGTAGACGCTAGTGGACGCTCCCGTTTGATAGAATGTCTATACTCTTCTAGTCGCTGGCGCTGACGGACGCTCGAAATGCTTATGGTCGCTGTGGACGCTGCCGCAAAGTACGAACGCAGACTTTCTGTACATATTGGGAAAACAAGAGACTGGCAGGACAATACGGAAAATAAAGGGCAATCCAAACGACGTACTCGTGAACAACATCAATGTGCTCCCTCAGCTGACTGTGTGCATTGTAGACCTAGAAGAATTTCGAGAAGAACAACTGGCTCAGCGAATAGAATGCGCTAGTACCTTGTTACAGTGCTGACAGACGAAGACACTCGGTGCAGCTCTCTCTCCATGCAAACGTGCTTCATGCCTTTGAGCTTTTTCTAGTGTTTTAAATATCTAAAGCAACATGCGAAAATGAGGATTTACCGACCGAGTCTGCTCTGTAGATAATGGTTCATCATTGCCATCATTCTGGAACTACTTGTTGGAAACTTGCGCGTACTTATGATGCGATATATCTATCAACAAATCCTACTGTACAGTAGAGTGTCCGGAAAGTTTTGAGAATTTTCAATCATTCTATTTACACTTAAGAAGAACAATAACAGAAAAAAAACAGTAATTTAGCCACCTTGTCACATCCTCTCTTGTATCTTGTCAGAACATGATCCTTTTCATTTCCCTTAACTTTTCGGCACTGCTTAGCAGGGGAGTCAAGATGAAGTGATACCGAAAAGGCGGGGCGAACACAACCATGAAGCTGAACTTTCACATGAGAAAGCAATCGCGAACTCGCTTCCAGGTAATCTGGAGAGCGTTTCATACAGTGTCGAGGACAGCGCCTCATTCCCGATTCGACTAACGAGCAGCCAGAACGG